AGCAGGTGGACCTAGGAAATAAAAGAAAACTGGTTAGAAGGTGTATATTTGAATGCCTGTGTTTACTTCTAAGACATCTGAAAGGCAAAAGTCCAATTGAATATTCTTAATTCAGGGATTGATTCATTCCTTATATACAGTATTGCATAGAAGTAAAAACCCATTCCCCTGCCAGAGGAAAGCAGGAAGATAGGAACTTGAATCTAGCTGAGAATATCTGCCTGCTGTTTCCTGCAAATCTAAGAGGTGTGCAATGTTCTTAAATAACAGATGAATGAGAATAATTTAAAATGAGTGTATAAATGTAAACATGTGTTAAAAAATGGAAGGATAAAGGGGAAATAAATAAACAAAAAAATTCTAACTGCAGCTACTGCTTGATTGAAAGACAATAGCTGTTTACTGCCCCTATGGAACAGGAACAGCCAAGAAATGACCACGGTCCAGGAACAGCCTTTAACTCCCTCCTTAAGTCTTCCTCTCTTCCTGTTCCTTCCTCTCTTTGCACAAGATCTTTCTTCTTTAATGAGAAATTTGATAAAGTCAACTTGGATCTCCTGCCATTTACCTCCTCTTCTTTCTCATTTACTCTTTCAAACATCTTGTCCAGCCCCCTATCTAGAAGACACTGAGGTCTTCTATCTTTTCTTCAATCTCATCTGTCCATTTGCCCTGATGGTCCTGTTTGTTCCCACTTCTTTATTTCTATTACTCCTAATTCACATCATTCTTCACCTTCCTACACAATCCTAAGTTTTTCTCTGATTTTTCCCTCCCCCTCATTGAAAGTATGCTTGGTCTCCCCTACCCTCAAATAAACATCTCTCCACCATACCTGTCCTCTTAAATGCTGACCTAACTTTCTCCTTCTCTTCTGCCCTACAGTGAGTATGGATTTCTTTTCCTCTAGCTCTGCACTGGATCCCTTCCAATTGCAGACAGAAGTGACAATTTTCACCTGATCTGGCCACAGAAAGCAGTCTATAGCTGTGACCAAACACAAGTGCCCAGCTGCAAACATCTTAAAAAATGCCTGGTTGGGTGAAAAACCCCATTACACGAGGTATTAGATAAAGATGTTTAAAAAAGTAGCATCTTCTGTAACTTTTGTCTGCAGAGCTCCTAGACTCTCCCTGTTTTGAGAATAGGAGGGGGGAAAGGGAGTGCAGGGAGCTCAGTCTGGGGGGTTTCAGCCTCCCCTGGAGGGTGAGGTGGGTGTATTGGAGCCCCCGCTAAGGTGGCAGGGCTCCAGTTCACCCACCCCACCCTTCAGCACCAGCCCCAAGAACAAGCTCTCCACTGCCTTTCACCCTTCCCATGCTCAAAACAGTGAGCACTGGCACAGAGCATGGCTGTTGCTGTGGGAACCTGGCTGCAGGCTTCCAGTCCCACAGCTAAATTCCCTTCCCCCCTGGAACCAACAGTGAACTTATCTTTGGTCTGGGGTAATATTGCAACTGAGAACACTTTGCAAAAATCATTCTGAGTTACAGTTGAGGACTGCACTTCTGTCTGCACCCAACTGGTTTCCAGTATTTCGACTCTACTGAAAACCTTCTCATTCCGGTCTCTAATGACCTCTTCCTTGCCAAATCTCTGGCTTTTATTTAATTCTCAACCTTCTTGAGCTCTCTGCTGCTTTTAATACTGCTGTATCCTCACCTTATTTATATATATGATCCTCACTGGGATTGGAAAAACAAGCCTTCCCTGGTTCTCCCTCTGCTCTAGAGCACCTCCTTTGGTAGAGTCACCATCACCACCTACTTTCACTTTCTGTTAGGTTCTATGTTCTTACTCACTTTATACCCTATTTCTAGGTTATCTCATCTACTCTCAGGGTTTAACCTGTCCTTCCTGTACCAATTCATAGATTCAGAGTTTTGAAAACCAGGAGAGACTTCCTATATATCACAGGCTAATAACTACAGGTTATTAACCTACAGTTAATAGGGCAGAGATGCACCTGCCTTCTGCCTGACTTCAGACTAACACAGTTAACTACCTTTCTCTGTATGGTGTCCAGTAGCTTCTTTGTGTTTGACTACATGCCACAACTTCTGGGAATGCATCCATGCCTGACTTAAAAACAACAGGAGAGGGAACATCTTCCGCTTTATTTGGGATTATTTCCCAACAATTAACCATTTACCAGTTAACCACTGCTAAAGGATTGCATTTAATTTTCAGTTTGAATGTGTCTGGTTTCATCTTTGAACCCTTGTTTTTTGTTCAATTCTTTTCCATTAAAAGAAAAAGCCCTTGGTACCCGTTTTCTGCTCATGAAAGCATTTATACATTGTAATCAGGTCACAGATTAATATTATTTAAGAGAAACTAAAGAGATGGGAGTCTTTAAGCCTCTTACTGCAGGATGTTTTCTCCCATCCTTGAATGTTTTTATGGCTCTGTTCTGCATTCTTTCCAATTTTCCAATAGCTTTTTGAAATGTGGCCACCAAAATATACAGAGTATCTCAATAGTAGTCTCATCAGTACCATATAAAGAAGTAAAACTACCTCCATGCTCCTACTTATTATTTGATCATTTATGCATCCAAGGATTCCATTATCTGTTTTTGCAGAACATCATGCTAGGAGCTCTTGTTCAGTTGTTCGACCATTATGATCCCCAAATCCCATCCAGATCTAGCTCTTTCCAGGACACAATCCCCTATTCTGCAGGATTAACCTGCATTACTTACTTCTAAATGCAGAACTCTGTATCTCTGGTAGTATGAAAATTCATGGGCTCTGTGCATGAAGCAATCAATAACATTCTGCATGACTGTCCTGTTCTCATTATTTATCACTGTGCAATTCTTTGTCATCCACAAATGTGACCAGAAATGTTTAACATATATACTTCCAGATCACTGTTGAAAATGTTTACTAGCATCAGGCCTATAACCAGTTACTAACATCGGTAGAAACATTATTATTCAGTGAGGTTATCCACTGACAACTACTTTTTAAGTAGTTGAGTCAGTTGGCTAGTTTGTTTATTATGCATCTAGTTCTAGATAATATTTTAAAAAAATGTGAATGTTATACAATACTATTAATAATGTCTTACAAAAGTCTAATAAGTGCATCATATCCGTGTAGTTACCATGTGGCAACCAAATTTGTAAATTCCTCAAGGAATGCAATCACTTTTGCTTGACAATGCCTATTTTACATAAAACGGTTGCCTATTATCAATTATTTCCATCCTTAAATTCTTTTTTAAAGCTGAAGCTTATGGAAATCAACTTTTCCATTTTTTAGACAAGGACTGATGCCAAACTAACCGGCATGTAGATACCCTGTTCATTCTACTTGCTCTTTTTTCTTTATTGGCAAAATATTAGCTGTCTTCCAGTTTTCAACAATTTCCCTTAGCTTCCAAAGTTTATTAAACATTAACATCAGTATGCCAAAAATCTCTCATCCAAGCTTTTTAAGATTCTTTTGAGTAAGTTACCCAGCCCTTATTTAAAAATGTGTGTATCCAGTAATAATAGACCCAATGCAAGATATCCAGCTAGGAGAGATCACAGAGCCAAATTGCATATTGTACTGTTAGGTTCTCCCAACAGCTTCAGAACATCAGTAAGCAAAACTGATAAAAACACATTGCATCTATTCCCTGAGGGAGAAGTGCCACCACAGAAGCAGCTAATCTGGTATGAATCCAGTCAGTTCCATATATGAATTAGATAGAAAATTGTCTAACAGCAAGAAATATTAGTCTGTTACGATGCAGACTGCATAGGACTTCACAGACACTACATGGAGAAAAAGAAAACCTTCTTCATCTCCATCACAACCAAGAAATGAAACTTCAAATTCTTTGTGTCACGACTGATCACCTTTGGAGTGTGACTTCCATCACTGCACTTTAGCCTGCTCCCTTCATGCTTCATCTGTCGCAGACCATCTGAATACCAAGGTGACCTGTGAAGATAATACAGAGAGAGGAGGCATTTAGGAGCCACTGTGTTGATAGTTGAGGACAAAATGTAATCATACTGTCCTCTCAGGCTATCGACAGAGTGGTCCATCAACTATACTATAAAATATTATCTCTAAAATTGCCAGGACAAAAGATAATCCTCAGCATCATATAAGAGGAGATGATGATCTGACCATTAACAAAAGTCTTCCCCTTATTCTCTCTATATTCAATCCTAGAGCAAAATATAGATCTAGAGTACAGCCAATCAGAAATTTTTCAACAAAAAAGTTTTGGAATTTAGTTTTTTCATCAGAAAGTGCCAATTCAACAACACAAATATTTTAAGAAATGTGTCAGTTCTGGTGGGAAGGGTTTCTTAGCTCTAGGGAGAAAGGGAAGGAGAGGGCATGTCTACACTACCGTGAACAATGCTATGTAGAGCTATTCAAGCAGCTTTAAGTGGCTTAGCTCAGATACTGGATGCAATCTAACCAAAACAACATGGAGCTCAACTTCAAAGCAGGGTAAATTAGAACAAGGTGAGCTTCCATGGCTATACTGTTTCCAGTACCTAAGTTAATTTGCATGCTGTTACCTTATTCATCTTTACTCTTACTACAGCCTGTAGTGCAGAGATACCAGCGACATATGCCCTTCCCAGAATAGCCACAGCCTGATGGTCAGAGCTTTCCCGGTAACCACCAATCTGTAGAGTATGCTAGAGTGAGTTTCTTAAGCTTGCTGTTTCTTTTGTCTAAAAAAATTAAATATTCATTGCATCAGAAAGATTCTATAGCTCATCAGTTAGCACAGCCTAGGTAATGGGAGACCTAACTTGAGACTGTTGCTCTTATGAATATCAATTATTTATTAAAATTGGAATAGTTCCAGCAGGGAACATGGTAGCCAAGCCACTAATCCTAAAGATCAAGGGACTTGTCTGAGATCTGGAAGACCTATTTTCAAATTTTTGGTCAGAAGAAGGCAAAGGAAGTGCTTGACCATGAAATAGCCATGTCTGAGGTGAGTGCTCTGCTTTTAATGGCTGTCTGCTTTATGTTTTTCCAGTGAAAAACTTTGAAGGATCTTAAGTGCATCCCACTGTAAAACAGGAAATGTTTCAAAATCTCAAATAACTTTGCAGGATGGGAAAACTGTTTCCTGTCCACCTCTAATCCAAAGTGTGGTCAGACATATGTATGGAACCCAATATCAATTATTCGGTGTCAGAAGCGGACTGGCTAAGTTCACTGATGACAGCAAATTATGGGGAAGTGTGGTCGCATTAGAGGATAGGCTGGTGATTCAGGCCAAACTTGACAGGCTCGCAAGGTGCATGGATCAAAACCTGATGGCATTCAACACGGAGAAATGCAAGGTGCTCCACCTTGGGAGAAATAACCTGCATCATACTTACAGGCTTGGCAGTGCTACACTCGCTAGCAACACTACTGAAAGAGACTTGGGGGTTATAATTGACCACAAGATGAACATGAGCCACCAAGGCAATGCCGCAGCTGGCAAAGCAAACAAAACTCTGACTTGCATTTACGGATGCATCTCAAGCAAGACCCAGGAAGCCATCCTGCTTTACACAGCCATGGTGAGGCTGCAGCTGGGATACTGTATCCAATTCTGGGCTCCGCAATTCAGAAAGGATGTAGAGAAGCTTGAAAGAGTCCAGAGGAGAGCCATATGCATGATTAGAGGAAAAGAGAGCAGGCCTTATGAGGAGAGACTTCGAGCTATGGGACTCTTCAGCTTGGAAAAGTGTAGGCTCAGGGGAGACTTGGTGACAGCCTATAAGTACATAAGGGGTGTGTATCAGAAACTAGGAGAATGTCTGTTCACCAGGGTGCCCCAGAGGAAGAGAAGGTCCAATGGTTACAAACTCCTGCAAGACCATTTTAGGCTGGACATAAGGAAAAATTTCTTTTCTGTCTGAGTCCCTAGGGCATGGAACAGACTCCCCCCCAGAGGTGGTGCAAGCACCTGCTCTGGACATTTTCAAGAAATGCTTGGATGCCTATGTTGCTGGGATCATTTGACCCCAGCTGACTTTCTGCCCCTTGGGCAGGGGGTAGGACCCGATGATCTTGCGAGATCCCTATTGTTCTCTTGTTGTGTTGGTCCTAATGAGTCAACTAGAATATTCATTATCTGAGCACTGATTTCTCCCAGGAAAATAAGCATTTGTAACTGCAGTGCTAGATGTCAAGAAGGCAACCAGCTAAGTAGGGGTTATGGGATGATTGCCATATTATTTCCACTTTAATGTATGCAGGGCTTACACGAAACAGTGACACACACAGCCCAGAGGGGAAAACACTTTCTTCTTCACAAATCAGATGCAATGAACAGTCACAGCATCTCCCTAAACCTCACAGAGCTCATGCTGTACTAAGCCTACACAATGCAACACAATTACTGCTGAAATGCCATTCAGCCTGCTCTATGGAAGAGCACATGCATAGCTCAGAAACCTCCCAGAGCTTTACTTAGAGGCCATGAGAAACTCATCTGCTATTTCCACCTGCTTTGATTTGCAGAGCCTATGCTCAGCAGCAGGAAAATGAAGCAAAGGTCCACAACTGGCTTGGTTATGAAAGAAGATTGAAGGTGCTGGGATAAGTTTATGGAGAGGATAGTAATATGTTTTTTGTTAAATGAACCCACACATTTTGACTTTTATTGAACTTTTGATGTACCAACCCCTTAGACTTTAGAAACATTATATTTATGTAAAGAATTATTTTTTATATGGTTGACGTTTAAACAGAAATTTAAGTCCTTTTATTGGCTTTGTTGTTTAACGGTGTCCGTTTGTGTCGGCTTTTGGTGTGACACTCTTAGCCACTTCTCCTGTCGGTGGTATTTTTGGTGCGGCTTTTATTTGAGTGTAGTGTATTTATGGCTTTATTTTTTGAACTTTTACTGTAGTGTGAGTGGTGAGAATCACAGGATATGGTCTCTTTTATCTGGGCTGAAGCGGCTCGTTTTTTTATGTCTGGACCAGCACTTTGTTTTTGATCTGGAACTTGTGGACTGGTGTATCTAGAGGGAGTGGAAGTTGTTTTTGGACATACCTGTGGAGAGAAGACAATATAGCAGACAAAGAATATAAATAATTTTTTATTTAACCTTTTTTTTTATATGTATTTGATATTTATGTGTTATCACTGGATTTTTAGGATATGGCTTGCCATATATTAATTTAAATGGACTAACTCTCAATTTAGCTCTAGGGGCTATGTGCACTCTAAGTAAGGCAAGAGGCAGAGCTTTGGGCCATTTTAGCTGAGTTTCTTGGCAAAGTTTAGCCAGCTGTCTTTTTAGAGTTTGATTTATTTGTTTTATCTGTCCACTTGACTGTGGTCTCTATGTTGTGTGAAGGTCTTATTGTATCTCTAGAGCCCGGGAAACTGTCTGGGTCACTTTTGACACAGACTCGAATCGACACAGACACGACACAGACACGAATCGAGTGTGGCCCTCGATTCGAGGCTAATACTTTTGGGATTCCGAATCGTGGAATCATTTTTTTTAGCATTATCTGGACCACTTCTTTTGCTTGGTTGGTTTGGCACGGGAAGGCTTTTGTCTATTTAGTTAGAGTGTCCACAAGCACTAACAGGTATTTGTAATGTCTCTTTTTGGGAATTTTAGAGAAATTTATCAGTCAACACTTTTTGGTAAATAGTTTTTTTTTTTTTGTTCTTGGCGGAGGTTTGGGGGAAATCTTAGGATTGTTGGTATAACAGACAGGGCATCTATGCACTATTTGTTTTGTTGTTTTTTTTATTTTAGGTCTTATTATAATTTTTTGGAGACCTTGGGTCATGGCATCAGCTCTCATATGGGTGTTTTGGTGGTATTTTTGGAGCACTTTATTAAGAATCAGTTTTGGCATCAGGATTTGTCTCTTAGGCAAAACCCGCCATCTATCTTGTTGTTTTTTGCTTTTTAATTTTTTTGCGAGTTGGTTTTTTTTTTTAGTATATTTGGGAGGTTTTTTAGGTAACATTATCTGAGGCATTAATGTCAACATTTGAGTTTTTTGAACTTGTTCTCTAGCTGTCTTTTTTGTCGCAGCATCTGTTTGTTGATTTTTTTTAATAACATCAGCATCTCTTTTTTGATGGGCCTTATAGTGCACCATAGCTATTTTTAGTGGTTTTATCACGGCTTTAAGTAATTTTAGGATTTTTGTTTTATGTTTTATTGGGATTTTATTTGTCGTTAAGAGGTTTTTTTTTTTTTTATATAGCTCTGTGGGCGTGTAAGACTCCAAAGGCGTATTTTGAATCCGTGTATATAGTGGCTATCTTTTTTTTTGTTAAATGGAGAGCTCGGGTCAGCGCAATAAGCTCAGCTCTCTGTGTAGAGGTATTTGGAGGCAAGGCATTTGTTTTTATGGTATTCCATGATGTAACCACGGCGTATTTCACCTTTTGGGTTTTATTGTTTATGAAGCTGCTTTTATCTGTGTAGAGTTTAAGGTCTGCCTTAGGTAGTGGGGCATTTTTAAGATCCGGCCGGCTAGCATATATATTTTTAATAGTTTTAATGTAATTATGTTGTAATCCTTTGTCCTGTTTTAATGGCATCAGTGTGGCTGGGTTTAGGGTATTAGAGGTTTGCAACTGGATGTTTTCTTGATCCAGGAGTGTTGCCTGGTATTTAGCCATTTGTCCAGGGGAAAGCCAGGTTTTTTTTTTGTATTTATTATCGTCAGCACTGAATGTGGGGTATATATAGTCATTGGTTGTTTTAAAGTAAGTTTTTTAGATTTTTTTATTAGCACAGCGGTAGCTGTCACTGTTTGTAGGCAGGCCGGCCATTTTAAACTAGTGGGATCTAATTGTTTGGAGAAGTAGGCCACTGTTTTTTTTTAGTTATCTAAGTACTGGGTCAGCACTCTTGATGTTATTTTTTGGCGTTTATGTATATAAAGTTGAAATGGTTTATTTAGATCGGGTAGGCCCAGGGCCGGTGCTGT